CAGGTCCTGTGTTAGGGTCTTCATTGCTATCGCCTGTGTGTACGTGTTGTTATTACTTTGGGACACTTTAAGAACTAACCACGCCCACCCCAGCCACTTTGGGTCTCCCCCGCAGCCATCTTCTCTCTCTTGTGTGTGTGTGTGTGTGTGTCTTTGTTTTCTTTATGTTTGTCTATGTCTCCCTTTCTCTAAGTAATAAATGTTCAGCTTTATGTATAGCCTTATGTCCATTTACTCTTCCGTCCACCGCATCCAGCCGCCTGACTCTGCCGCTCGCCCGGGGACCCTGTACTGCTCCGGCGGCAGCTTCTGCCTGGCTTGCAGGCCGCCCGGGTCCTCCCAACATCATATTATTTTTAAAAAAGAACAATACATGTCTGTGCACAGGTCTTGTGTTAGGGTCTTCATTGCTATCGCCTGTGTGTATGTGTCTGTGCACAGGTCTTGTGTTAAAGTCTTTCTTCATTGTTAGCACAATGCTTGCTTCCTGTCGCTTTCCCTGTGCTAAGCAGTGCTGCTTACTGAGGAATGGGGAAGCCAGGTCTCTGTCCTCGGGAAGTTCACAGTCCATGACCGAGAGGCAGGAACTGAGTGTCAGCAGGTTAAGTTAACCAGGAAAAGGAGAAAGGTACACTTTAAACCTGTCAAAAACCCTAGAAGGGAGAACTTATCCTTGTTTCGGGCTCGAAGAGGTAGAGCAGGTACGTGCAGGGTTGGACCAGCAGCAAGTTTTGAAACACAAGCAAAAAACAAACAGCAAAACAAATCTTTTTTCTTTCTTTTTTAAGCTTGAGTACAGTTTATTTAGTGGATATTGGGAATGGTGTAAGAGTAAGGAGTTACAAAGGGGAGGGGAGAAGTGGGGGAGAGGGAAAGGGGGACAGAGAGGAAAGAGGGGAGAGAGAAGAAAGAAGGGGGAAGGGAAGAAGGGAGAGAGGCAGTCCATTTTTCTTTTTTTTACTTTTTTTAATTTAAAACATTTACTTTTCATTTTACATACCAACCCCAGTTCCTCTTTCTTCGCCTTCTTTCTGACCTCCACCTCTCTTCTCCCCCATCCACTCCTCAGAGGGGATAAGGCCTACCTTGGGGAGTCAACAAGGTCTGGGATACCAACCTGAGGCAGGACCAAGCCTCCACCTCCCATATCAAGGTTGAGCAAGATACTCCACCAAAGGGAATGGGCTCCAAAAAGCCAGTTCATGCACATAGGATAGGTCCTGGTGTGACTGCAAGTGTCCTCCACCCCCCTGCCATCCCAACAGATCAAGCCTCATAACTGTCACCCACGTTAAGAGGGTCTAGTTCCGTCCCACGCAGGTTCCCCAAGAGGGCGATCTTGACCGATGCCGTGTTCATATCAAATCCTTAGGAACGAGGTGCCTCCAGGGGTCTGGCTCAGAGTGGATCCGCGTTTTATAGGATTCTTCCTGGCAGAATTACCCCCTTTGGCTGGGTGGTGGTTTTTAGTTAGTTTTCCTGCCAGATGGGAGCCCCACAGCAGGCAAGCTGCCATCTAACACCCCCAGAGAGGAGAAAGTCAGTAGAAAGGTCTCAAAGAAGGAGGACAGCCGTAGAGGCGGGTCTCTCCTGCTCCGGGTTTGGTCCATAGGAGCATAGACCTGCAACACCTGGTCAGCTACAGGACCCCACCCCTGCCCCGCCCCCAGGCATCAGCCTCCCTCTCTGGGACGCGCAGTGAAAGGTCCCGAGGTGGGTGGGTGGAGGTATGGGGGCAGGGAGGAGGGGGGTGTAGATGACGTCCAGCGGACGAACAAAGCCGTTTAAACCTGCTGTTCCTGCAGGAGACTCAAGGTTCAAGCTGCCTGGCAGCGGTTCCCACCTAGACAGACAAAGGTGAGGGGGAGGGAGGAGTGTTCTGCCAACAGCTGCGGCTGCCTCTGCCCTGCAGGCATCCTGCCTCGTTCTGGGGAGAGAAGCCAAGTGCTTGTGTGCCTGGTGCAGCTGCTTACAACACCTGCACATCAAAGGCAGCTAACCGGCCCCATGCCGGGAGACAGAACCAGAAAAACACTTTCGGCTCCAAGCAAGCCGCGGCCGGCCTGTCTGGCAAAGGCTAGTCGCGGCTTTTCCTGGGCTGAGTCCTTTTCATCCCTTGGCCCTCTGAGCATTTCCCCAGACTCTGTTAGGAAGGTGTCTTAGTTTCTTTTTCTATGGCTACAATAAAATACCCCCACAGAAGCAACTTAAGGGAGAAAGGACTTAATTCATCAGGTAGTTCAAGCCAATCACAGAGAGGGACGCAAGACAGCAGAAGAATGAAGAAGCTGGTCACATGACCAATCAGGAAAGAGAGGGCTGAATGAGTGTGCGGGCTTAGTTTGGTTAACTCATGTTATACAATTCAGGATCCCCCACCTAGAGAATGGCCCTGCCCAATTAAAATGGGTCTTCCCACATCAATTAACTTAATCAACACAATTGCCTGCTGGGGCTGGAGAGATGACTCAGCGGTTAAGAGTACTGGATGCTCTCCAGAGAACCCAGGTTTGATTCCCAGCATCCGCAACCATCTGTAACTCCAGTTCTGGGCGGTCCAGTGCTCTCTAGGGGCCCCTGTGAGCACCAGGCACCCGAGTGGTGCACAGACATACATGTAGTCAAATCTCTCATGCACATGAAAATAAATAAATAAATATTTTAAAAGCTTGCCCCATAGGCAAGCTCAGAGGTTTAATTCCACATACACATGGCCAGAGGTGTGTCTCTCAGATGTTGACAAGATGGCACTGTAACAGATCTCCAGAACATAGCAGGCCCTGAGATCTTAGCACAACTGACTCCATGATGGAAGTACCATTCAGGCTGTAAAACATAGACGGCACCACCCGCCAAAACTAAAACAAAGACCTAATCCAACAGACTCCATAGTTAGAGGAAGGTCTCTAAGTGCAGTAACCTTGGTTTTTGGCCTCTACAGTTCTGCTTCTAGCTAACTGTTCTTGTTAACTGACGTATGCCAACCCAGAACATGGGTTATTGTGCTTAAAATCTCATCCTGAGAACGGGAACGGCCAGAGCTACAGTAGGATCCTTCACAGCCAGTGTATTACCTGACTGGCTAATAAAGCCATGTCAGAGCAGTCCTCTCTGGTGGCTGTCCCACGACACTGTCGCAGGGGTACTTTCTGCAACCTCATTCTACAGCTCTGAAACCATAGGCTGTGGCCAGAACATCATGAATGTGTGGGACCCCAAATTCTAGGAACCCAAATTGACTGTCCACTTTATAAAATCTGGGATCATGAAGGCAGCTGAAGGTTACTTTTGACCAAAAATAAAAAAAAAAAAAATTTGTGATCAAATTTGCGGGAGTGGACCTAGAAAAGATGAGGGCAGAGTCCACAT